TTTTTCCATTGATTTTTAGAGAGAGTAGGAAGAAGGGATGGGATGGGAGGGGGGAGAGTGAGAGAGGAACATTTATTGGTTGCTTCCTGCACACCCCCGGACTGGGGCCAGGGATCAAACCTGCAACCCAGGTATGTGCCTTTGACTGGGAATTAAACCCGAGACTCTCTAGTGCATGGGCCAATGCTCTAACCATTTAGCATACCAGCCAGGGCTATCAGAGTGAGTTTTGAAATGTTTTCCAACTTTTTTACATCTCAGGAATTTGGAGTCTTCAATGTCTAGGACATAGGACTGCTCTGAGGAATAAATGAAATTTAATGAAATTTATTAAAAGGATTTAAAGTGCATGTTGCCCAGGGTGCATGTTGTTCATAACCTCACCAGCTTCCATTTCCTGCCTTCCCAATGCTAACAAGGTCCCAAGGATTTCCCAGCCACTCTCTTCCAATAGATTTGACATCCATTTCCAGGGTCAGAGTTTGGCCCTGGTTAGCTTAAGCTACTGTCCATCCCATTTTCTGGACAAAGATTGATTTAAAGATGGCCCATCACTCAGTTTTGGACATTTTTGTGGGCTCCAAGAGTGAAGATTTCTTACTCTTCTGCATAAAGTCCCTAAAGAGATACCCCTTACCTTGCTGGATGTGAATGAGGAAGCATAGTCATTGCTGACAGTCATTGGGCAAGGAAGCTGATGTTCTGAGAAACAGAGAGAGAGAGAGAAATAGTACAATTCGACCTTTGGAGATGATATTGAGTTATGGGACCAGATCTCTTCTCTCAATATATTAATCACGTAAACCAATGTGTTCTCTTTATTGTCTGGGCCTGTTGGTTTCAGTTTTTTGTTAATCCAATAAAAGAATTTCTGAGTACCTCAACACATAAGAACTGTTCATTAAATGTAACAATTATATTTTGAGAAAAATGTTTTAATTTAAGAAAAATTATTTGAACTATCAATGGGTTTTTTAGGAGAGGTATCCCAATACCTGGCATTCTAGTATTTGGCCTATAAATTGGCCTATATTTCACTGTTTTTATTTTTCTTCTGGGATGTAATAATAAAAAAAGAGGCCTAATGGGAAACACATGGATTTACATTCTTTAATTTACCATACAAATTAAAAATGTACATATCTGTTAAAACTTAGCCATATTCTACTACTGTGTCTGCATACCTCCCTGCTGCCCTCCTATTTCGCTGTAAACCCCTCTCTTTCTTGGTCCCGGAAAATGTCTCTAAATCCCCGAACCTGTCAGGCTTCATAGGCGTATAATTTTACTCTAGCTAAATTCTAAACACTAGTAATAGGTGAATTTGACATGGACACCGTGAAAGAGTCTTATCTACAGCACGACATAACTGCTACCGCCCTAATATCTATTAAGTAGCACAGAATTACAGTGTAACAACTCTCAAATTGCTTGTGACACCTGCATGAATACCAAACAGATCCATGATGTTCAGCCTTATTACAAAATGCACTTTCTGAATTTTAAATGATTAAGGCTCTTACAAATTAATAGCTACCACGTGAGTTTACTTTCTAATGTACAGATGTTATTTAAAGATCACAGTTTATAACAAGCAGAAACAGACTCATAGATACAGAGAATAGACTGACAGCTGTCAGAGGGGATGGGTTTGCGGGGCTGGGTGAAAAGGTGAAGGGATTAAGAAAAAAAGAAGCCACACACACACACATACACACACACACACACACACTCTCTCTCACACACTCACACTCACACTTATAGGCACAGACAACAGAATGATGATTACCAGAGGCAAAGGGGGGAAGTGGGGAAACAAGAGGGTGAAGGGGGGAGCAAGGGTGATTGAAGGAGACTTGAGTTGGGGTGGTGTACACACAATACAGTATACAGGTGATGTATTCTATAGAGTTGTGCACCTGAAACCTATATAATTTTACTAACCAATGTCACCCCAATGCATTCAATAAAAAATAAGATCACAGTTCAATTAAATGTGGGCAACGATGCGAATAATAGTGCCACTTACTAGAAAGTGTACTACTTAAAGCAATAATCCTAATTTTGAAAGCTTTCAAGTGACATTATTTTAAGAAAAGTAAATCCCTATTTTAAGTGCCACATGTCATTCTCCCCATTTCCCTGGAGATGAAGTAAAAGAAAAAAGTAAAGAAGGAAGAAAGAGATGAATGTCGGTATTATGCAGAATTTGCCTTTTGAAAATCCATTCCCCATTGCACTAGCTGGAATTTTATAGAGATATAAATCACAAAGAAATAAGAAGCCAGTAATGAGATAGAAGTATATTTGAAATATAGATGCAAATTTTGACCACCTGCTGAGCAAAAGGAGTCTGCGGAGACTGTCCTGGAAGCCACGATGCCATTAGCATCTTGTAAGCTCTAAATTTACAGCAGAAGAATAGAGGAGTTATGTCTGCAGAATCCCAAAGGCCGCTCTGATTTATCTCTCAGCAGAATGTTTCAGCCACATCTCCATAAATATTTTAACAGGAATTTAATTTTCATTTTAGTCACACAGTAAATCTTTTTATTACACACCACCCTTTTGTCCTTAATGAGTTGCTTTTGTCATGCAATTTGTGTTTATTCTCCTTTTGTGTTTGATAAATACAATTTTAATATACCAAGGAACAATGGTTTTATGTACACAAGAGCCTTGCCATGGGCTGTTTAATTTTAGTCATGAATTCTATTTATTTTAATACGATTTATATTACAGCTACCAATTGGCTGATATGTAACTCCAGCACTTGTTCTTAGGGCATTAGGGAAATCAGGGCAGTGAAGAGATGTGGAGTTCAAGAAATGCTTCCTGGTGCCCTTATTGAATACGGGTTTAGATGCATTGGCTGTCGTCTCCGTCTTATTGTCAGTTTGTTTTACCAAGTGGAATGTGAGATTTGTGGTCAGTGTGGGTCTGGTGGACTCACACCTTCAAGTTTCATGTGTCACACTGGTTTTTTGACTATGGTGACATTGTATTACAAGTGATGGTCAATTTTGTTGACCACACCCCACCATCACGAGGACAATAAAAGGTATTGTCATTCATACATTTGCTGAGGAAACTTACAGTACTAAGCAGACCCTATCAATGCAGAGTGGATTTATCCTGGAACCAATCCGTTAAACAAATTTGTTGGTTGTGGTCAAGATACTAAATTTGCCACTTGCAAACAGGTCACCCAACTGGTGTCGGCAGTCATAACTGAAATCTCCGCCAGTGGCATCTCCCTTTATGCTTTGCTTGAAAATATTTTTTGCCACAAAATTTTACTTCAATATTCAGAATGAAACAAGAGCTTAATTTTGAGGGTACTAGAGACTTAAAAAGCATAATACAGTTATCAACATACAATTGTCAAATGGCAGAGTGCAGGCCAACACAACTAGAGGTATAGCTTTTAAGGCCATGTTTTTATTACTAAGCAGATGATAAATATTATTGTTTTTATTCAAGGCCCTATATAACATTTCCCAAACATCTGCCTTTCTTTTTTTGTTTGTTTTAGTAGTTTATGATATGGCCTGCAATCCAATAAATATCTTTGTTCTCATCTATATGACAAACATGAGTTTCTCCCTGAAAAATCAGTGACCACAGAGCAACAGACATTGGATGAGGGAAATGGAATAGCTGAGACTTATTGGTCCTCTTATTTCTTACCTGTGGTCTGCTGTGGCTTTTTCAATTTCTTCTTTACTTCTTAATCTGTTGTTTGAGTTTCCTATAAAACATGTCCTTTACATAAAGAAAAGTTGTTTTCTTTCATTTAAACACAATACTTAGGTTGATAAACTCAGTGTTGTTTATACTTTTGTTTTTTAATCTCTCTTCATTAGCTCTGTCTGAATGTTTTCTCTCCATTTTTGCATGTGAGTCTTAGCTCCATATTGAAGCCCTGTTCATATGCTTCCTTGATTATTCACTCATTCATTTATGCACGTACTCATTCGTTCATTGCTTATCATGAACCATGCACAGATCTAGGCACTATGAATTGTGCTTTAGAAGAGGGAACATCCCTCTCTTCAACTTTCTGGAATCATCTCATCTCATTCATTCATTCATTCATTCATTCTCTCTCTTTCCCCTTCTCTCCCTCTTTCTTTTTTGATTTCATACTACACTATAAGTTCTTTGAGACTATAATGTCATTTAATTTATCTTTGTATCTCTAATAGTTTCCAAGAGAGCATCTTGCCCATACTAAGCACTTGAAAATGTTTCTGGAACAAGAAGATTACACTCTTTATGAGGAAATGGCTTGCTAAAACACAACTTATCTTAGCCCAAACATTTTCTTACTTTGTTCAAATTAATAAAAAAGATAAATGTGGTTTAATTGAACACAGATTTTAATCATCAGTGTATAATATGGTGTACTGGTTTCAGTTCTGGAATCCACCTGTGCCTCAGTTTCCCCATTGTTAAATTATGATGTTGAGAGTTCATAAGTAACTGAGTCAGTTACTATTCAAATGAAATGGGCTAAGTTGTGCAAAAACTGAACCTAATGCCTGTTACATATTGAATTCTCAAAAATTCTTACTACTGTTAGTATTTTTATTAGTTGTGGTTATTGAGGCTGTTAATAATAATAGAGGTTTTGACTTATATTCAAGCTCCTCTCCAATTCTCTGATGTAGTAAGGTTATCTGTTCTTGGAAGTAATGGTGTCGTAGGTTTCCCCTGCCAGTGCGTATCTTTCTGTATTTAAGTTATTTTAAGGTACCCAGCATCCTAGCTACTTGTCAGGTTTAACCTTCACTGCGGTGTTTGGGCTGCCACAGGATTCCACAGGGAGAATAAGGTAAATGGTGTTTTTTTATGATCACATTCCCCATGATGATCTTTTGTACTCAAAAATAATAATGGAAAAATATTCCATCTTTCACTTTTGTTAAAATCTTTGGAAAATGCCATTTCTGTTTTGATTACCGAATCTCCTGTTTGTTCATTTCTTTTTCAGAGACTTGAAAACAATGTGGCTTTCAAACAAGGAGAAAACCGAATTGGGCTTTAAACAGGTCCTATTCCTGGAGAAAGGTACCTGGGAAAGGTAATAACAGTAATGAGTGTTTCTTAAATGAAAAGCATGATGGGAGTGAGAACAGTTGCCAACCTCTACCCTTGGCTCCCTGATGCAGTTCAGTGAGATTGAAAGCAAACATTTTACATGCCCTGCCCTTAATTTAATGGAAGGTTGGCATGCAGTTTTCTCATACTCTCCCTTTGAGTTGTGGTCTGAGATCCAATAAACCAGGGGGGGGAAGACACAGATGGCGAAGTGACTATTGAGAGAGAGTGTTCAAATGTTAGCTTTGGGCTCCCATTCTTTACTTTTAAATGTAAAGTAAACCTTTGGTTGGTTGGTGTTTGAATGAGGTATATTTTATGAAATATGATTTACTTCTTTGTTAACTTTACCCATGTCCCAGGGCAGGATGTAGAATAACTGATCTCTTCATTTAAAACACCGTTTTTGTAACCTTGATACTAATACAATTTGGGGCCAGATAATTCTTTGTTCTGGGGACTGACCTATGTATTGTGGGATGTTTATCATTATCCCTGGCCTTTACCCAGTAGATGCAAGTATCAGCTCCTCAAAGTGGTGACAGCCAGAAGTATCTCCAAACATTGCCCAATGTCCCCTGTGGTGTGTGGGGGTGGGGTGGGGCGGGGGGGGGGGTGAAGGGAGCATAATCATGTTCCAAACACTGGGCTTGGAACTTTACATCCAATCCTTAAGTAACCCTGAGAATTAGGCATTATTGCTTTCAGTTTTACAGACAGAAACAGGAATCCAGAGAGCTTCAGTAATTTCCCTGCAGTTACACAGATTGTGAGAGATTAACTTTTTCTTCTTTACTAAGTTGTCCATTCTGATCCTTTTCTTGACATAGAGACAGAGTGACTGAATCTTATATTTCCAGTTGTAAAAAATAGACAAATTATGGAAGAAAAAGAGATATATAATTTCTGATAATTCTAGTTTAGATTATAGACAGAAAAACATATATAATGCAAATGGCCATCATGAAGTATGAAATGGAAGTAGATATGAGGATGTCAAGATATTATCACCAATTAATACTTAGCTCATTTTGGGACACTGATAATTGTTTTTTTCAAGATATCAAAGTTCCTATACTTAGTAGTTCTGGTACCACTCAGACTGGAAAGACTAAGGAGGCATGAAAACCAATGCAATGCAGATTCTTGGGCTGGATCCCAGGACAGAAGTGACAATAGTGGGAAGCTGGTGATCTCTGTAATTTATTTCATAGTAGTGTTTCAGTGTGGATTTCTTAGCTTTGATCATTATATGATGGTTATGCAAGATGTTAATATTAGGGGAAGCTGAGTAGAGCATATATGGAAACTTTGCTATTTTTGCAGCTTCCCTGAATGTTTACCCCTGCAGTTGTGCCTTGGACAGCATAGCCTTAAACTGCACAGCTTGACATGTCATTGGACTTTTCTCAATAAAGACACTTGGCCCTCCATATTCCCGGGTTTAGCATCCACTGACTCAACCAACTGTGGATGGGAAAGCAGTGTTTTTGTTTGTTTGGAGTCCATGGATGTGAAGGGCCCATGGTTCTATGTATTGTTCTATGCCATTTTATATGAGGGACTTTAGCATTTGATGATTTTGGCATCTGCACAGGGTCCTGGGACCAATCCCCCACAGATACTAAGGTCGGACTATAGTTAAGTTTTTGGGGAGTCAAAAGTTATATGTGGATTATTTACTGCCTCGTTGTTCAGGGATCAACTGTATTTAAATTATGAAAATGAAATAAATTAATAATGAAAACAAAATCTATTAAGCAGCAGGAGATCTGGGTTCCTATCTCTATTTTACTACTTACTACTGGCATTTTTACAGTTAAAATCTATACATTTTGTTTGTTTCAAATCTGAAAACAGGTGCTAATAATAAGTAATCCATTCAGTGGGTTGGTGCTAGGCCAGATAACCTTACAAGGTTTATCTATTTATGAATCATATATCTAATTATATGTCTGTTTCTCTAAATACATGCACATACACAGAACTTTCTGTTAAAAAAACATTCAAAAGAAACCTTAACTTTGGTTTCTAACTATAGAGTGTGAAATGAGTATTTAAGAGTAGTGAGAATGAGTCTCAGTGGCTGAGAGGATTTAGTATTACATTATTCAGCCATCACCCTAATGCAGGTTTCTTAGGCAGATGAAAGATTATAGGAGGTTGTACTCATAATGAGGATGAGACCATGTACCTAATGTTCTAGAACTGCCATTAGGAAATGCAAGTATATCACAGCCCAATTCTGCCAAGATATTTTCCCTTGGAACTTCTCTTGGAAGAAACTTGAATCAAAGGAACTTTATTTGGAAAGTTTAGGACGCCTTCCTCAGCACATCATTTATCTCAAGACATCCCAGTATCTACTTCCAAAGTTCACATGAGAGGTGCTGACATTTAGTCAACACTTACTATAGTGACAGTATCATACTGGATGTGTTACATAGGTCAGTTAATGTCTGAAGGAGTTTTTTTAAATTTTATTTTATTGTTTAAATTATTACAAATAGTAGTACATATGTCTCCTTTTTTTCCCCCCATTGACCTTCCCCCGGCTTCTCCTACCCCCCTGGCACATGCCGTCCTTCCCCGCCACCACCCCCCCCCCCCCCCCCGCCCCCAGTGTCTTGGTCTTGTGTCCATTGGTTTTACTTATATGCATGCATACTGGGTTTAAGTATCTGGGAAAAAGTGGTAGCTGGTTTTAAATAATAGTGAGACCAACCAGACCTTCTAACAAAATTCCTTGGGAATGATCTCACTAAGAGTTGACCAAGGATTGCATGTCATGATATTGCAGAAACATGTAAAAGTTGTATGTTCTATTTTGGATTGTGACTAATATTCTTATTTTAATTTGATTGACTGCAAGGAGGTAGCCCTGATACAGATAGAATATAAACAGGGCTTCCTTTGCAACAGCGGAGGAGTAGATTTCCACGCCATTGGCAGTTGGTGATGCCAAGTGCAGTTGTCGCCTTGATGCTGTAGGCAATGAGGATTTTTATATGCCATAATAATATTACTTTTGGCTCTGGCTTCTGAAATTCTGAGCAGTTTCATATTGATGACTGAGCTATTTCTCCACTCTGTCCTATAAGGCAAACAGAAGAAATGAGAGCTCTATTAGAATGATCATATTTTACCCCTTAATGGACCTTGGAGTTCCTGAGCTGGTGTATTAGTTAACTTCCCTGACCATAGCACTACTTGTTCCCCCAGAGCTTTGAAAAGATTTAACTTTTTCTTATGGCCCTTATGCTGCCTTCCTTCTGTAAATTTCTCCATAGTGTCATTCTAATTTGTTCCTCAATTGAAGTCAGAATTGACATTTTACTTTTTATAAGGAATCAAAAAAAGGATCAAACTCACTTATTATTACTTTAGAAGAGCTTCCCCCAAAAGCTTGTCATTTTTTCAACCCAAACCAAATCTCCCCACACCCTAACCCAATGTCAAATTTCATTTGCTCTTTGAAATATGAGTTGAGGATGCAGCAGGCCCTTGTATGAATCTTTACAGGAGCCTTCCACCAGACCCGTCTCTGTTTCTGGCTGTCAGAGTTCCAGTCTTCTGAATTAAACCAAAGGCACAGGAAGTACAGCTGCCAAGACCTCCACTAAGACAATCATGTGAATAAGGTATTATCCTATGTTTTCCAAATGGTCAGCTAGCAAACACATCAAGCAAGTGTGTTTCATTACCCCCAATAAATTTAATAAAAAATATAGCATTTGAAGATAATCTAGAACAACAGCAGGAATCTCCAGAAGAAAGTAGCCACGAGGAACAAAGAAGATCTCCAAACGATTGATACAGTACAGTGGCCTCTTACAGCTCTCTGGTGTGCTAGTGGTAGAAACCAGGTGTGAGCCACACCCCTGTGGGTAAAGGAAAGTCTTCCCCCACAAAAGGAGATATTCTGATGTCAGTCATCCCAGGAAGAGGAGGGTGCTAATATGGAGGATAGGGATTTGGAAGATAAGTCTCAAATAGGAGAGAAGGAGTACAATAGGCTTTCTTTTCCAAGAGTAATTATTTTTTTTGGATTTGGATTCTCAGGATTTAGAATATGTTCAAAAATAAGCTCCGGTGGGAAAGATAACCTCTGCCAAGTGAGGTTGCTGTGATCTGGACCTCATGGAAGTGGGCTGGGCTAAGTGGGCTCCTATCAGACCAATGAAGTATATTTGCCCCAATTGAACTATCTCTGTACCAGTAAACCTGGATCATTAGTAAAGTCTGATTTAAATGTAAAAGCTTGGCCAATTATGCTGTTGAGATTTAAGGAAAGGGTCAGTTCATACTCAGGAAGGTGAATCTTAGAGATAACAGTGTTGTCCTTTTTTAAAATATGTGTTTATTGATTTTAGAGAGAAACATTGATGAAGGAGAAACATTGATTGGCTGCCTCCTGCATGCCCCCTACTGAGGATTGAGCCTACAACCTCCTGGTGCAAGAGACTAAGCTCAATTTACTGAACTACAGGGGTCAGGGTGAGATAACAGAGTTGCCCCTAAACAGAAGTAAGAACTATAATATTTATCCATTTCTTGCCATCTGTGAATTTTTCTCCTAATTGCCATCCTTGGAGTACATGGGTTTGAATCTCTCCAAGGTAGCTATAGGTGTCTTATAACAACTCCAGAGAAAATTACAAACTCTGTGTGCTAAAAGTGAAATAGATTAAATGCCAGTTTGCACCATCTGAGTTCCTTCTTAGTCTACTCTAAGAGGATTCTTTCTCTGTGATGAATTAGGACTCGACTTTATCAGCTCCTCTCAATTATTTATATTTCATTCTCTCTCTTAGTTCTTTAACTTCTTGCCAGGATAGGTGATGCATTAGGTTCTTGGATCATAGACAGGGATTAGTCCAATTAGAATAATTACAGTTATTCTTTCATCTTCACGTTTCATACAGGGACTTAATCTTATATCTTGTTTCTGCTCCATCCTTTTCTGTTTGTATTAGGAACCACTGGTTCAAAGATAAAAGAAAGATGCATTTGATAGTTCAATAGTTCTTTTCCTCATTGTTATTTTTTCTCTTCCAATATCCATTTTGCAGTGGTGTGCTAGGACTGGCTGGCCCATAAGGGCCTACTGATAAATATTCAGAATTTTCACAAGCTGGGTGTTAAAATATTAATAACTTGAACTTGGCCCTGGGAGGAGCATTTCCATAACCATGGAAGTTGGAAATTGATAGAAATCAGAGGTCTTTTCCTCTTCTTCCTTTTTTCAAGAGAGCTGACTTAACAACACATTACCAAATTTGGTTGTTGGCACCACAAATGTGGCGTAAAAATTAGTTTATTATATTTTAAAGTGGGCTGATTTTCAAGAGTAGATGACAGAGTGGGCAGAGTTCTGGGTGACCAGTCATCATGTCCTAATTCTTTTCCTGACAAGCTATCTGACTTTAGGGTAATCAGTTCACTTCCTGTTCCCTTGGTTTCCTTACATACAAAATAAATGATTGAACCTGATCAATCATTAATTTTGATCAGTTAAACCCTGAAATTTTATTAGCAGTAAAAAAAAAACTTTCCATTAAAATGGTCATGGAAAAATAACTGAACTGTCTAGGATGGAAAGAGTATTAAGGAGTTTGTAGAGTGAGAAGAATTGGCACTTCATATCATGAAGACGGCAAAAGAAATGGCATCAGATGAGATAGTTACTATGTAGAAAGAGCCCATTGAAACAAGAGCATATGGAGGATAATGTCTGCGTATTCAAATTAGTGCCAGGTTTTGTGGTTTGTTGGATGCTTTTCCATAGACTTTAGAAGGAGAAAGACGGCAGCTGTGAACACTCCCCTCTTCACCTTGGCTGAGGAACTCTCCAAGAGAGCAGATGGTTCTGAGTTTCAAGCCATGAATCATTGTCAAGGGATTTCCTCAAGCTGCCATGAGCAAGTACAGTGGATAAGCCTCAATGGGTAATATTTTTATGACTCTTGGTGTCAGTCACATTCATGCCCTTGCTGCTGGGATCAGGCTTACTGTTCCTAAAGCTACAACTTGGAAACCAAACAGCAAGAGTCAGCAAATTATTTCTATTTAATGTCTAATGGATGTTTCAAGACTTTAGTAGTCCTCTTTTTAATGTGCATCAGTCAAGAAAGTTTCAACAATAAAGGTCAATTTTAAAAAAGGAACCATTTCTTTCTCTTTATTTATTTTGTCCAATTTCAATGCAGACTAATAGGTAAATATTTATTGGTTTTGGTGCCTTACTTAGCTAATTTCTGAAAGCCATTATTAGAAGTATTATTTTGTTGATTATAGTGTCTGATCTAAATTTGTTACTTTTTTATAATGTAGATAAGTGAGAGTTTGTTTTTGACCTGGAATATAATGTATTTAATTCTAATGCTATGCTTCATAATAAATACATATGCTATGTGGAGGACTCATGGTGAATTAATTTGACTCTATTAAAAATGTCTTTAAACAGTGGGCCCTTCATATGAGATAGAGGTAGAATGAGATAAAATTGGTTCTTTCTGTTAAAATTCAAGTATGCTTTTGTTGATTAGACTGTATTTCAGTTTCCTTACTTACTTTGGCTAAAGTCATTTGCAGTAGCTTTAGCTGAAATTCTACCTAGAATATCTTGACTATTTGATTTTTATAGAATGTAATGATTAGAATATGATTCAGTGATCATTTTTAACAGTTTCCATTGCAAAATATCTTGGATCATTAGGTTTCAGAACCAGAAATCTAATAGAGGACAAAGTGGTCCAAATTAGAGGCTTTCCCCCGCTCCCCATACTGTGGAAAAGTCAACATTTAATGGACTCTAAGTGTCTTCAGGAAAAGGGAAAAAGGCTGTTTCAGAAAGCACATTCACCTTTTACTTCTGCAGAATTTAGTCTGGAAATAGTTTCATGTGAGTGCTTCGAAAAGCACTACTTTTTTTGACATGAAGGGTGGGGCGGTCAAGTGCAAAGAGCAGGGGATTTGAGTCAGCCAGAGCTGCTCCATCCTTTGAAACGATGTGACCAATTACAAATGATTCTGAGGCACTTTCCTCAACTATACAATAGGGAGAATAATATGTGCCTCAGTAGGTGGCAGTGTGATTGTGAGAAGGCAAGTTGGGTGGCTAGAGTCCTTGGATTTTATCTGGCTTGTGGTGGCTCCTCAGTAATAGCAGCCATTGTTAGTGTTTTCTCATTGTACTGATGTCCTCCTCAGCTCTTGTCATTTTAATGCTTATATATAATGCCAGAGGACAATACTGCAAATGCTAAACATACTGAAGGTGAGAGCAGAGGAAAAGAAATTCAGAGTTGCATGAATATTTAGAAAATAGGTTTCCTTTTTTTATATATTTTAAAAAATTTCAATTACAGTTTGCATTTAATATTATTTTGCATTAGTTGCAGGTTTCAGCATAGTGGTCACACAAACGTATACTTCACATAGTGGTCCCCAGATAGTTCCAGTACCCACCTGGCATGATACATAGTTATTACAATATTATGGACTCTGTTCCCCATGGTGTACTTTACATCCCTGGCACTATTTTGTAACTACCATTTGTATTTCTTAACCCCTTCCTTTTTTTTAACCCAGTCCCCCAACCCCTCCCCCTCTGGCCACCATCAGTCTGTTCTCTGTATCTATGAGTTTCCCAAACAGGTTTTTTTTTTTTTTTTTAATATATTTTATTGATTTTTTACAGAGAAGAAGGGAGAGGGATAGAAAGTCAGAAACATCGATGAGAGAGATCGATCAGCTGCCTCCTGCATGCCCCACAGTGGGGACGTGCCTGCAACCAAGGTACATGCCCTTGACTGGAATCGAACCCGGGACCCTTGAGTCCGCAGGCCGACGCTCTATCCACTGAGCCAAACCGGTTCGGCCCAAACAGGTTTCTTGATAGAGCTCTGTCACTAGTGAAAGTTATGACCCGGAGAAAGGTCACATGGTGACTTGTCCTTTCCATACCTCAGTGCTGTGTGTAAAATGAGGAACTGAAATTAGATTAGCTCTGGGAACCAGCTCTGAAGAACAATGATATTGATAATTATCCTTAGAAAAAAAGAGTTGCACTTCAAACTTAGAAAAATAATCTCGGGATATGTTAGAATATTCTAGGTAATTTACCTTGCTGATTAGCGTATTAAATATGATTAAATATGGTTTTGGTCAAGAAATATGTTGAACTTGATATGACCAATTTCCCAAACATTTGACAAATCCATGTTGCTGAACCTTTTTATGTAACTCAGTTGGGAAATGCTATATAGCATGTGTCCCATGGCCCCTTACAATTCTAATATTTTGTGACTCTGTAACTGAGTAATTGGTGGAATATGTATGGTGATGGTTTACATGGAGTGCCACTTTTGAAAATTCATTTCATTTCATGTAGAAAAATTCTTTCTTTTTTTAATATGTATTATTTTATTGATTTTTTTACAGAGATGAAGGGAGAGGGATAGAGAGTTAGAAACATCAATCAGCTGCCTTCTGCACACCTCCTATTGGGGATGTGCCCGCAACCAAGTACATGCCCTTGACTGGAATTGAACCTGAGACCTCTCAGTCTGCAGGCTGACACTCTATCCACTGATCCAAACTAGGTAGGGTGAAAAATTGTTTCTTTTTTTTTTAATAT